TTTTTATAATATTGTAAGTTTTTAAAGTTTGATAAAATAAATCATTATTAGAATGGTCGGTAAAAATTCAACGAATTTGGCAACGAACCGGGGCCTTTTGCACCACCAGGCATTAAGCGGCCTAATCGAAATATTACGATCCTTTCATATTCATGCACAATCTCAAATAAATGATACTATTAGAATGATAAGAGATAATGATCTCAATCATACATTATTTTTCTTGATCATACACCTTCTTCATATTAAATTCATCATCATGAAAATATTCTACTTGTGAATCAACTTTTTTTGCAACATTATTTTGAGAAGAATATTTGCATGCAAACTTTAGAACGTATAATTATTTAATTAAATTCTGTGAATAACAGCATTTATCAGTAAATAGATATTAAATTTTTTTAGTAAAATTTGCAATTTTCTGTTACGGGAAACAAGCTAAGCTTTATGTAATACACTGATATTGAAATAAAAAGAATCAATACTCAAATACTTAAATTTGAAGATAATTGTTGCGTACAAAATCAATGCAATAATTAACTTGCTTTGATGCACGTAAACATTGAAATCGGTGATGTGATGAAGGCCAAAATATAAGCCAGTATTATTAGGATCCATTCACAAAAACCAAGTTCATGTTGTGTACCTGCTGAAATAAAAAGAATAAAAATAGTGAAATTTCAATTAGAATTTAAGGTGTGAAATTATCCGAATAAAACCGAGTAACTTTAGTGATATAAATATGTTTTTCGTTGACTTTCAACAATGCCATAATTTCAACCATATTCATTTATGCATTAAAAAATGGTCAAAAAATTGCGAACAAGAATGACTTCAGATAATATAAATTTTGCTTTCGAAAATAAACAAAGCAGGAAAAAAAGAATTGCAATTAATATCAACTTGGAATAAGGAACTATCGAATGATAAACTGTAAGTAACTGAATTTACTTCATATATGTATATAATTTGGAAAAAATATAGCTTTTATGTTTTTATATAGTTTTTAGAATACAGATGCATACAGAAGCAGTTCAGGTTTTATGAACTGCTTCTGTATGCTTCTGTATTCTCAGATTTTTTCTATTTGTTTTATTATAACTAAAATTTGCGATAATTTGTTATTTACTTTTATAATTGATAAATATTTTAATTTCAAAGAGGAAAATAAAAAAATCCATGCTGAAATATTCTTCAATTCCAATAGCCAACAATAGAAATGAAATTTACTTATTATTTTCATAATATTATTTGAATATCATTTTCTTTCTGTGAAAATTAGTGATAATTTGTTGTAGTTTACTTTTATAATTCAAATATATTTTCCTTTGAAAAGATGGAAATATTTTCTCAATTTAATAGCCAATAACAGAAATAAAATTTATTTATTATTCTGATAATGCTGTTTACGTTTATAATTTACAAACGTTTTGCTTTTTTAAAAAAAAGGAAAAAAAAACTTTTGCTGCAACATTTGTCAAAAATGATGCATAAACGGAAACTCGCCTGGTACCAAATTGAATGGTTTTTTATCATTTTGAACATTGTGGATTTCTTGATCAGTCGTGGGAATATGATGATGAAATTCGTCACCAGACATCGTGTCAATGTTTTGTGAGTATGTTGGTCGAGAAACATCAGCCATCCGGAATAATTGACTATTCAGATGCATATAGAATATCTTGTGATCAGTAAAACTTATGTTTTAGCAAATTTCACGAGCGATTTCATTTGCATCAGCAAACATAACGAAAATACTATAAGTCGTTATTTTGAAATTGTTAAAATGCTAAATGCAAATGGCAAAAACAGAATTAAAAAATGCAAAAGAACAACAACAAAATTATGTATGAAGCGATGAATCAATTAAAGTTTGTATGAAAAACAATGAAAAACGGAGAAAATAATTTTAAAAAATTGAAGAAAAGAATTAGAAAAAATAAATGTTTCAAACATCTTAATTGATATTCAATTTAAATCCATGCAACATTTCACTTAATTCAAAATTCATGCTTCAGATATCTTAATTTATATTCAATCCGGCATTATTTGTTTATCTAATTCTAAAAATTTCGGAAACTTTTACCGAAATTTACTATAAAAATAATTTAGAAAACCTACAATATTTGAGTGGTTTTAATTGTTAATTCTGAATCAATGAGATTAAACATTAATGACTGTATTGAATCGTGAAGTAACTCGTTTACTAACTCCAAGTTTTTTAAAATTCTTTCCAACGGTTCTAATTTTTTAAGCAATCTAATTTCTGCAACTTCTCGGTGGTTTTTCCCATAAATATTGACATCATTAATTATTTAAAGGATGTAAAATTCCCAACCACAAAAGCTTTGATTCAGAAAGAGTTAATAAAAAAAGATGCTTCCTTGCAAATTTATAAGCAAATTTCCTTGAAAAATTTTCCTAACAAAAGTAATCATTTCACAAATATTTAATTGTAAAACAAAATGTTTAATGTTTCTACATTATTTTGTAGAAATTTATGCCATAAAAAATTATTGACCAAAATATTATCAATTAAGTGATGTATACTTTTATTTAGAGAAATATATGATCAATCCTATTTTTGCAATTAAATTTCCGGAAATTTTGAAATAACCAGTTTTCTATATCTGTAATTTTTCTACTTCTTGTCATATTCTACCTCCAAGTTTTTCGTTGTTTCACTTCACTATAACTATGTGCATTCAAACGAATCCTCACCGCATTATTACTTCACCAAACAGCTCCAAACTATTCACTCAAATCAACAAATAGAAAAAGAACTAAGTGATCAACTCTGTTATTGATAAATCAATGATAACAGTTCTATAACATCTAAGAAGAAAACTTCTCTTGAAAGGGAATTAACCATTACCAGAGAATTCGAGTCTAAAAATAAAATAAAACAAACAAAAACTGACAGAATATTTTGGTGTCACAAGCTGGTAAAAGACTATTTTTATTCAATGATGTATTATTACAACGAATTCATCAAAGAATTGGAAGCATGAAAGTTAAACATTTCACTCGTTTATTCATATCAGAAGAGAAATCAATATTTATTTGTTATTGCAAAACAGGAAATATTTGAAAACTGCTGGAGTAAAAAAAAAACAAATAACTAAATCGTATTTAGTAAAAACATGCAAACAGAAAGTTAAAAAATAAAACGCTGCAAAAAGCTCAACAGGAATAACAAACAACAAAAATAAAAATGAATAAAAGAAATCTAAATTCAAAACAGTAAACGTTAAAAAAGATTAATAAAAAGAATGCCACTTATCCATAAGTAAGCAAGTAAAACCGAGAATTGTATTCATTGAAATGAAGGAGCAGAAAAATAATACGAATTTGCATGTCAGATATAAGGTCAATAATTTATAAGTAAGGAATAACAATAACAGCTAAATTTGAAAAAAGAGACGATAAAAATTAAAATTGAGTAATTAAATTGCAAGGATTTAATAACAAAATATCGAAACAATCTAAAGTACCAGAAATAGCGGCGCGTATTTCAATTTAAAATGTGTTTAAGCATATTTTCTTTTAGTATGAAATCTCTTCATATATGATTAAAAATTATATGATTAATTGCTATAAATTTTGATACATAATCTTTAATGTTTATGGTTAGCATACACAGCACGAAAATTGAAGTTGTTATTCAATTTGATTATTAATGTTTAATTGGGCTGGTTTAAAAGTGTCCAATTTCGAAATAATTCTCGCAAGTATTAATTTTTTACAAACGTTCCATTTTTTGTTTGAAGATAGGATAGGTTTGGCATTCATTTTCCTAATGATCCTTATCGCAAAAAGCCGCAAAGTCTTTTTGTTTGACTCCTTTTTAAGGTTACCTTAGCGTCTCCTTTAAGACATGCAATTAAATAACCCAATTTCTGAATATTCGGAATGTTTTGAAGATGTATTGCAACTCCAAAACCTTCGAAACTACTTCAAAATCCTCTCCATTGATTGAGATCACCGATAAATGGTTTGCTACGTGGACTGACTCGCTTTGCGCACTTAAATCCTCCTTTCTAACGTCTCACTTTAGATGTTGGAGTATTAACTCTGTGTCAGTTCTACTGATTTTTAAGATTATCGTGAATTTCTTTTCTTCACTTACTAATTTTAAAATACCTAATTCATCATGGGCTATTTGAATATATTTTTCATCTTCTCGTTTTTTTGTTGGAGATGAGATTTGTTGAATCGTATTCTTCGTTGATTGCTTCGAGAGTAATTCGAGGCGCATTGTCCTTTCTTCGATAATTCTTTTCCTTGTCTCATACTGTTGGTGTGTTTCTTCTGGAGTCAATATTTTTTTTGATCTAATGGAGTCAAATTCATATTTCTCATTTCTTCCAGAACTTTTTGCAGTTTTTCTTTTGCCGGTTGCGGATATTTCCTGCTCGTGGCATCAAAAAATTCTGTCGTGCAAATTTTTTGTGTTTATTTGACTTAATTGAACTAGTTTGATGATTGATTTACTGATTTGATAATTCGCTGACGACTTTGTTTAAATATTTATTTTAGTCAAGAAGGTTAGAACGATTCAGACAAGGATAAGACGAGAAATTGTGGTCTTCAATAATAACAATAATTACAATAATCACAATAATCTGTTGTTAAAAATTTGGAATAATTAAATGCTTAAATAGGATGTGAATTAATAGGCATGTCACGATACAATTAGATTAGCTGCAAAGATAGTTATGGAAAGGAATGATTAAATTAACCATACCACTGATGAAACAGTAATCGGTACGGTGAGCTATTTGCTGAAAAAACAACTCAGCCATTGACAGAAAATCTTTGTAGTACAAATTTTTGCAATAAAATTTAGTGTAGTTATTTCGACAAAACTGCTTTTTACGACATTGAGCATCAAAAAATTTTCAGAATAAAAAAACAAGACAGCTATAAAACACCAATTCACTCAAAAAACTAATTTCGACGTCTCTCACTAATTCCACTGCATGTTGCTTTTATCCGCTCATAATTCTTATTGGTCCTTGACTTTTCGGTCCTTTCATTCTTCTTTTTCCTTCGTCGCCTCGATCACTTGCGCTTAGATTCCCAGATTTTCCCAATGCTCCTTTTGGTCCTTCTGAACCACTAGGTCCTACATCGCCTTCATCTTCATTCCGTCTATCTCGCACTGGTGGATCTGGCAGTCTTGGCGCTCCTCCTGATCTTGATGGTGCGCAAGCCTAAAAATAAAATTTGCGCACAATTTGCGAAAATTCCATCAATTTTTTTTTTTCGTTTCTAATTTAAAGACTTGTTTACTTGGACCACACAAACAGCGTAAGTGACCAATAAATGGCGAAAAAATGCATTGGTATTGACAGTCTGAAATTCGTTTTCGTGTTCGTGCTAACCATGACAGAAAAATTGAGAGAAAATTTGAAAATTTTCTTTCAAATTCTTATATTTTTTTGACATTTTGAAAGTTGAGAGAGAAGAAAAAATAAACGGCCAAAAGAGGTATTCAAGAAAATCATTCCATGACAGAAATCCTTCAAGCGAAGTTGACGAGAAATTTTATTTCTGTTGAGAAGTTGGATGTCTGATACGAATCATTCCGGAATTCGGAAAACAAAGAAACATTTAAGAATTCTTTGCGGAATAACCGTATGGAATGCTACAAAATGCAAAATTAAATGATTATTGGTGGTGTACATGAAATAAACGATGAACGGGAAGAAGATTCAGTTGACTGATAGATGACCAATATTGATATAGAATCTATTAGGATGGATAAAAGAACAGATTTTAAGCTCACGAGAAACAGAAGTGAATTAAGTGTCTGTTCTATGCCGTTTATTTAATTACTGGTAGAGAAGATAGTGATAGTGCAAGTTAAATTATCTTTTATAGTCTGGAAGTTAGTCTGGTTCTGATAGAAAGTCAGTCATAATAGAAAATCCTAATCGGAAGTAAGAAAAGCAGTAAGAAAAAAAAAGACATAAAACTGATATAATATAATTAAACGTATTGTCACTTCATCATTGATAATTCCATTTTTTTGTTAAAATCATGATTATTATAATGAGCGCCTGATCTAAAGTAATAAATTTTGAGCGAATTTGGTTTACGAAAAGGACTATCTCTTTGAGAGAGCTATCTCTCTCAATGATATTATAGCAACACGAAGAAATCATGACAAGGAAAAAATTTAAAATTGTGAAGCGCAGCTTTCTCAGCCTAGCCTTAATGATGTAATTCTCAATCCATATGCATAATTTTATCACAAAATTTCAGATTTTCCGACAGTTGCTATAGAAGTACAGAATTATGAAATACAGGCAGTGTAACTTGAAGAAGGTAATAA